CGGCCGGGGGTTGCGGTGGAGCTGGAGCTTCGGCGGCTGGTTCTGCCTGGAGCCCCCCAAAAGGCTGCAGGTCCCCGGGGTCTGTGTGTGGGGCAGTGCTGGGGGTCCCTGTGTGCACGGGGGTCACTCTGTAGGTATAGGGAGATGGAGCTTCCCCTCCAGGCTCCCTTCGCACTGGAGCTGAGTATTGATGCAGGGAGAAGGGGGCCCACGGAGTTTGTGACTAAGGCTCCGGGATGGGGCTGTTCCTGGTGGGTGTCGTGGCTGGGACCTCTTTGTCCAGGCAGGATCTGGGGACATGGGTACCGGTGGGTTTGGGGACGCTCATGCCAGGAAGTTCTCCCGGATATCACAGCCCAGGGGCAGCTTTTATCCGGCTTCGACCCACGGGCCGGTTCCGCAGCTCAGTGCAGCAACAAGTGAGAGAGCAGAGCCGAGGCGCGGGAAGCGACTGCTGGCACCTACCAGCCCTCAAGTGCAGTGGATTGGGGGGATGACAACCCAGACCCTCTTACACCCCATCTCCTCCCTCCTGGAAAGACATTTCCCACCCCACAACCTGTCCCAAGTTGCAGCTCGTCTGTCGAGGCCTGGTGGCCCCAATGTGCTGCCAGCGGGGGACATCTCAGCATGTACCCGAGTGCCGAAGCGGCTGGGGGGGGGCCGCCAAAACGGGGGCCCGCTGTCATCCGCGCCACCTCCTTCCCCGTCTCCTTGCGGCTCTGAGTTCCCCGAACCGGAGATGGGAATTGAGTGTGTGCCAGGGTCCGCGAGGAGGCTGCTGACCGGTGAGAGGGCACCCTTAGCACACCCTAAAATTGGAATATGTGGCTCCCAGCCTCACTGCTTCACCCCCCGCCCCGGACCAGCGTGGGACAGGGGGCATCACCCGTGCTTATAACCTGCAGGGATTCAGGGAGCTTCCCTCACTCTGAGCACAAGGGATCCCTAAAACCCTGTATGCCCGAAATGCCCTGGGGCGCTGCGGCATGGGGGGAGCCGGCGCAGGGGTCTGGAGCGGCCCTTCCCGCGCCCTGCTGGGCCGCTCGCGCCAGACTCGCCTCGCTTCCTTCCTCCAGCTGGCAAAAATCACCCAGCTCTCACCCTGCTCGAGTGATTTTTCTATTTTCCCTCCCAATCCCATCACTCCAGGGTCTCTTTCTGCTCCTGGGGGCTTTTCCCGCGACGCTCCGGGGCCAACACGGAAGGCTCCGTGGTGCTGCCGGCCCCGCTCTTCTCCCTTCTCCCCCTCCATCCTTCCCTCGCCGGCTAAGACAGACGGTGTCACTTCGATGCTGAAGCCAACCTGCTTAATGTGTTGGAAGTCTAAACGCGTTAGGGCCGGTTCGTTTGCCACGTTGCCTTCCCGGCCCTGCTCTCCCACGGGGGAAAACGGCCGCTGGACTTGCAGCCGTTCGGTAGCAACCCATCAGCATCAAGGACGGGGACCGTGTCCCCTCGCGGGGGGCTGCTGGGGCTGCTTTCACGGGCTCGGTGGAGCGGGTGCCTGGTGTGTTCGGCCCCGCCATGGTGTTTTTTCACGCGCTTTGTGTTGCTCCTTCTCGGTTTGTACTACGGAAACCATCCGAAATCCGCCCTGCCGCTGCGCTCCTGCCGGTGGGCTCGCTGGTGGCGGGTCAGAGGGGCGATGCCCGTCTGTGTCTGCGTCGGGGCAGCTCGGAGCTGGGGACGTGGGGACCAGCAGGGCTGCTGAAATGCCTCCTCTTTGCCCCGAAATGCGCCAGGGCTCTGCCAGCCTCAAACGGGGCGAATTCAGGGTGTTTTCTGTGCTCCGTCCCTTGGCGCTGGCTGGGCCTTGGCTCCATGCAGGGGCTCGCCGGCGGGGAGGCTTGCGGGGGGCTGGCAGCAAACCCGACCCCGGGAGATGTCAACCTCAGAGCCGCAAAACATCCGTTTCCCCAGACCCCGAGCTGCTGCTCGCAGCAGCCTCTGCGCTGGGCCCGGCACGCGGAAACACAGGAAAGGCCCCGGGCGAGGGCTGGGGGCCGTGCGGCCACGGGGTCCCATGCTGCCGATTTGGGAGTTGCTCTAGTGGCACTGAGGGCTGAGGCTGGACCGGGATGCTGAAATCCTGGAGAGAGCTCCAGGGACAACACCCGTCCAGGGATAACACCGGCCTGGCGGCAGCGAGCGATGCTGCAGATCCTGGCGGGGGGATTTTGCCTCTTCCCGATGGGACCCCCTTGCTCTCCTCCATATCCAGGCATTCCCTGCCCTGCTCCTTCCCTCTCCCCCTTGTACCACGCTCGCCCTCGCCTGCTTCACTCGGCATTAATAAAAGTTTCCTCCCGCTTTCTCGCCCCGGCCTCCTGCGCCGCTGGGGAGGCTCCGCTCGCGCTACCGGGGCAGGATTTCTGTGGAAACCCCCCGCGGTCAGGGGGGAATTCCTGCGTTTTACCAGCACGCGGGGCCGACGCCGCGGGGGGACGCGGGGCCTGGCTCAGCCTCTGCGGAGCAACGGGGGCCGGTGCAAGAATTGCCCTTGCGTTTGTTGGTGCCCAGATTGGCTCTGCATTTGTGGAGCGTAGGGGCCGCTTTTACATGTGCGGGTGCACGGGTTGGCTTTGCAGCTGCGTTAGGTTTTGCTTTGCTTGGGGCTTTGCACGGGTGAGTTTTTGAGTTTGGGGGTGCCCAGCTTTCCCCTTGGACGCACAGGGCTTGGCGCCGTGTTCCGGGGGACACGGGTGGCTTTGCGCTCGGGGCCGTGAGACTCGTTGGGGCCTTTGGGGAGGAAGTGGGTTGGCTTCGCACTCGGGTGCCCTGGCTTTGCCTTTGGGGGGTCCGCTTTGCCTCTCGGGGCTGGGGAGGGCAGCAGGGTGACCTTGCGCTCGTGGGGGCCGTCGGGCGCCGTCCCCAGCTCTGTCACCGCCGCCCCTGGCCCT